CTATTCACGGGCGCCGCGCCGCGCCGCGCCTTGACCCCTGCGCTCACCGATCCGCCCCCTTTTTCATACGCATGCCGGTCAGGGCGGAACGCGGGGTCAGGGGTCAATCCTCCCCCCCCCCTCCCTCTGTCGCGGTCGCCGTCGATGTGCTCGGCGATGCCCTGCCCTATGCTGACCCGCCCCGCTCCCGTTCGTTGGCGCCGCTCCGGTCGTCTCCCTGAAGCACCGTAAGGCGAGCGGGGGTCACGTCAGTTAACGTCAGTGTGGCTATGCGCGGGCAACGCTATTCACATGACTCACGATTGTTTACGGCCGGCGCTGTGGAGATTGCGGAGGTAGATCCTTTTCGGAGGTCATGATAAGTTGAATCCCCCCTCCAAAAATACTACCAACGCCTACGCGGGGGGATGTTATCTCATCTGTACCTCAACATTTCTCGAAGCCTTATACAGGTTTGCCACCCTTTACAAGGAATCATCCAGAAAGTACGTCCATTTGCCGTTACGAACCTGACAAGTTCAGCTTACGCAAGCCCTCATAGCGCCTGGTGGGTAGGCAACATCGTGCGTGTCGTGCATGCGTGCACTGCGGGATAGCCTACCCCGAGTCTCGCAGGCGCCGAGCTCCCTGGGTCAAATTAATCTAAGAGAAAACGGACGCACTTATTTCTGGACGATTCCTGAGCTGGACCAGCAGCTTCAATGACTGCTTGTTGTTGATCGAGAACTAGCCACCCGTGAGTTGGGTCACGCAGCCAGGCCTAGGTCGGCCAGCTACTGTTAGACGGTACAATTTGCGTGGTTTCTGAACAAGCACTCCATTTGGCTAAACATGATTAGTATTTCGAAGAAGTAAAACGGCAACGACGCGTGAGTCAGGGAAGCACTCCCATTGCGAGCCCTCCTAGGCCGATCAGTTTCACTAACGACGCGCAGAGTGCATAGAGGCGCCCCTGCCGCACCTGACCCCACCCCCGCCCCGCGCCTCCGGGTGGCGCTCGGCTCGGGGTAGCGGCGCAGCCGTGCCGTGCCCTGCACCCTCGCTCCAGTGTCGCCTGCGACGCGTCGACAGCTGCCTCGCGGGCGCGGACCGTTGCGCGGGGCTCTCCTCTGTATGGGGACCGTCATCAAGTACCTCACGGCCAAGTACGGTTGCAACGGCTGCCTCGTCGACGACCTGGCATTCCACGTGCGTCTGTCGTGTCGAAACTGTAGTAGCGCTAGTATAGTGAAGCCGCTAGGGGAGCCGGGACTGTGTGCAGGAGGTCTGACTGGCACTTCCCTCTTGTTCCAGGACATGGAGAACCTCACCCTCGCCAGCGGCACCCCGGTGGGAGACAAACTCGCCTCCCTGACGGTCGGCCCCCGCGGCCCTCTGCTCCTCACGGACACCGCGCTCGTGGACGAGCTCGCCCACTTCGACCGGGAGCGCATCCCGGAGCGCGTGGTGCACGCCAAGGGAGCCGGTGAGCACTCGCGCCGTTCAGGAAGCGTGACGAGTGACACCTGGGACGTTCATTTCTCAATAGCTACTTAACCCTTTTTTTATTTGTCTGAAGGTGCCTTTGGATACTTCGAGTTGACTCACGATATCTCCAAGTACACCAAAGCCAAACTGTTTAATCAGGTTGGAAAGAAAACACCTATCGCGATCCGTTTCTCGACGGTTGGAGGTGAAAGCGGATCAGCTGATACCGTCAGGTAGAAGTAGCTTTATTAATAAAAGTATTCGACGTCCTTTTTACATTTTTACATTTAGCTCATTTAAATATTACCTTATTATTATTTCTCACAGAGATCCTCGGGGTTTCGCAGTCAAGTTCTACACCGAAGAGGGCAACTGGGACCTTGTTGGCAACAACACCCCCATTTTCTTCGTTCGTGATCCTATTCTTTTCCCTAGCTTCATTCACACTCAAAAGCGTAATCCAGCAACCCACCTCAAGGTTTGAACTGTCTTAGACAAAAATGCACTAATTTGTAATTTTGCTAATGATTTTCACACAATTTTTCTTTTTCTTTGCAGGACGTTAACATGGTTTGGGACTTCTTTACCCTGAGACCTGAATCAACCCACCAGGCCATGTTTTTGTTCTCCGACCGCGGAATTCCCGATGGTTACCGTAAAATGAATGGATATGGATCTCACACATTCAAACTTGTCAATGACAAAAACGAAGTGGTCTATTGTAAATTCCACATGAAGGTAATTGCTGTTTGTTTTTCGATTGTGTTGTCATATTCCTAGTAGTAATGGCTCTATTCTTGTCTCTTTTATATTTTTATTTAGACTGCACAAGGAATCAAAAACTTGCCTGTAGATAAGGCTGAGCAAATATCTGCGCAAGACCCAGATTACTCTATCCGAGACCTGTACAATGCCATCGCCAATGGTGACTATCCTAAGTGGAACTTCTTCATTCAAGTTATGACAGTTGCACAGGCTGAAAAGAACAAGTTCAATCCCTTTGATGTTACCAAGGTACATTTCTCTTTTGGTGGTAGTGGTGGTAGTTGGGGTGGTGGAATTGATATGATTTTATAGGTTCACTAGTGTAACTGTTTATTTTTATTTTTTTTTATTCTTCAGGTTTGGTCTCACAAGGAGTTCCCCCTGATTCCTGTCGGTCAGTTGGTCTTGGATAGAAACCCAACCAACTATTTTGCTGAAGTGGAGCAAATTGCCTTTGCTCCCTCCCACTTGGTTCCTGGTATTGAGGCCAGCCCTGACAAGATGCTGCAAGCACGGATCTTCTCTTATGCTGATACACACCGCCACCGTCTGGGAGTCAACTATCAACAGATTCCTGTGAACTGCCCATACCGTACTACTGTGAGGAACTACCAGAGAGATGGACCAATGAATGTTACCAACAATCAGGCTGGTGCACCCAACTACTATCCCAACAGCTTCTCTGGACCAGAGCAGGTTCCTTCTGTTGAGCCACCTCCATACAAGGCGTCTGGTGATGTTTTGAGGTACGATTCTTAGCTTAATGGAATAAATGGTTCTTATTTGGTCAAAATTGAACTAAAAATGTTCTCTTCTAGGTATAACACTGCTGATGACGACAACTTCACTCAGCCTGGAATTTTCTGGAGCCAAACTCTAAATGATGCTGAAAGGGAGCGCCTTGTCTGCAACATTGTTGGACACCTGAAGGACGCCGCAATCTTCATTCAGGTACCCAAGCCCAGGCCTAGGCTCTAGACCAAATTAAATATTTCTCTTTCAATTGTTGTTTATAATGCTTGTTTTGTTTCAGGAACGTGCTGTCAAGAACTTTTGTCAAGTGAACCCAGACTTTGGTCGTAGAGTAGCTGATGGTTTGCGTAAACATGGAAGTCACATTTCAGCAAAGATCTAAAATCATTGAATCTGATTTTTCGGTTAACAGCTGGTCTGCATCATAATCAACTACATCAACAGAATTTTGGGAAGGATTCATTGTGTTTTGTTATCTTCTTGTGCATAAGTGTATTTCTGTAGCCAGGGATCTTCTACATTTCTCTGGTACATTGATATCTCTGTACTTTGATAAGTGATAAACTGGCTTTTGTTCTAGAGCTTTTATATAAACATATCCATAACTATTTTTTAAATATAGAATTATCATTCTAAGCAAAACAAAACCTGTTTCTTCCAAAGGTTACCTGCTTGTCCACATCACTTCACATCTGGACTGATCAAACATTCAGGTCAAAGTGGGAAATAACATAAATAAATTTTGATCAAAGTTAGGAGTTTTATTTTACAAGTCTTTTTAAATAGCTAACTAATAATCACAGACAGAAAATTGATTAGAAACTATATATCAATTTATGATCCACCCATAGTCTGGAGTTATAACATGAAACCCCTCACAGTTGCATAATTAATTGCAGAGAGGTCATAAAAACACTTAATAAATGAAACATAAAAATACATTGAAAACTAATTAATTGAACTTATCAGAATAAATATGATTTTGCTGTCATACCAAAATATTAGTAGTCATTGTGCAAACACTGCATGTTAGACAAACTATAATCAGAGTTATGACAAGACTGACTTTGTTGAGCATAAGCTTAAAAGTATTGCACCATGCAGTTGACTGAGGATTGTACAATACAATAGCAACCTCCCCTTACATTTTTATTTTCATTTTTTAGAAATTTATAGAAACATTCTGGTTTGGAAGCTTTTCTCAGAATTTACTACAAACTTTGATAAGTCAAGTAAGCACAAAATTAGACCCAATTGGCACTGAGCAACTTTCAGGAAGCTCATGTGAATATACACAAAATAATACATACAAAATATAAATCTTCTGGAAGTAGTAGAAGTCACAAGAAATTCTCAGCATATCACACTGAATTGATGACTAAATGCATACTGGGTTGGCTTCTTGTAATGTTGGTATCGGCTAGTGTCGCATCCTTCTTACGAATTTCCAGGAAAAAACCCATCCAGGCATGAAAGTATCCTTGGCACCTCCATGTTTCATTGTGTGTTCCATTAGAGAAAACACATTTTTGTTTAGTGGAGGATCCACAACGGTTGAAAAGAACATCCATCATTGCTGGGGGGACAAGGTCATCAGAGAGACCAGACAAGAAAAGGCATGGCACAGTGACTCTCAATACTTTGTCCAAGCTCAGAAACTAGAACAGAACAAAAAACAGAGGGATTAAAGAATATTTGGTTATTAAGTTTTTGTTTTGAGAGATTCTTCTGAATGTGACAACTTACACACCTTGTTTTTGTGACACCACAAAGGTAAGAATCGAATGTAAGATCCAATAAGGATTTTAGCCATATCAGGAACACTTGTGAAAGTGTTCTCAACAACTACAGCCCAAATTTTTGAAGAGTATTCTGGACATGCAGCAACATCTATAGCAACTGCTCCACCTGTAAAATTACGAAAGTTCACAGATCAAGAGCATCAAGATTAAAATACCACATTTTACACTACACAACTGATCTGATTTGACAAGAACATTACCAAGAGATCGTCCAAAGACAATGATTTCTTTACTATTTATGTCATTGCGGGAATGCAAATAATTTAAAGCAGCTCTAGCATCGGCATAAAACCCTCCCTCTGATGGTTTTCCCTTAGACAAGCCAAATCCTCTATACTCAAGTAAGAGTATGTTTGCACCAAGCCACTTGTAGAGACCAAGAACATTTGGTAACCTGAAATATTAAAACCTACATTACTCAAGCTTCTATGTAAAATGCAAAACCAAGCTACATATTTTTGTTTAACTATTTTAAACAATGATCTTACCGGTTCCCTACATTTCCAGCATTCCCATGCAGAAATAGAATAGTTGGAGCTTGGTTACAAATTGGTTCTGGTTGCCTGATTAAGAAACAGTGCAGAAGTGTTCCATCAGCACTCCTGATATAGACTGTCTCATTTGGCATACCCAGATTTGTGGGTTCAAGTACCACAACTCTAGAATTTTTAGGCACATCAGGATAGTAGAGAAGACCATCTTCAGCCTGATACAAAATTGCTAGAAAGAATGCAACCGTTAGAAGTCGTAACTGTGTAAAGTAATAGATACAATATTTATAATAACAATACTTAGTTCAAGACATTACTTACATGACATACAGCAAAAAAGAAAAAGGAAAGAAATCCAGCCACCTGTCACAATATAAATGACTGTAAATATTGCAGCCGTAACGGTTAATGACATCCATGACTTTTGAAGTAGCAGCAAAAACAGTGCTAAAATTTTGAGGCTAAGTTTAACAGGCATTGGTATATTAATTGGTATTTTACACTCTGGTATTTTTTCCTCTCTTTCAATGGTTGGGTTCTTCATGGTTTAGGTCACTTTCTAGTTAAGAAATCAACGCAGAAGAAAATTAAGATTTCTGTATGTTCAGGTTAGATGATTAGTTAGTCTGAACGATTCTCTGTTCTTTTGAAAAAGACATTTATCGTTGAGGATTTGGAATTTTCAGCCGCATGACAAGATCGCATGTATCATGACATTATCTTTTTCCTGAAATTATCGGATTATTCTTTCGTCTGTTGTATTTGTTGTTGTTGTTGGAACGGCTACAAGCTGGCTGCCTATATAGTCTGCTACACTATTCGCACATGTGCGTCCTGCATACTGTAAATAACTCTGTGGCCTCAAGAAAACATTGTAACTGATTGACTGCTGTCTAATTTGAGCTGTTTAGCAATTTCTTGACCATGATAGAAACTTTAGGAAACATTTTGACCATATCTAGTGATGTTTGTGTCGTTTTCCTCAATCTCATCATAAATACTTTATCATTCAGCTTTAACGTGAGCTACATCGTTGGACAGCTGATCGTCAAGTTCGTTGTTGGTGTTGTGTCTTTGGTTGTGAGCTGTGTTTTGGGTCTACAGACTTTGCTGCAAGTTTTAGCTGAAGATTCTTTTGTATTTCTGTCAGATCTTGGAACGACCCTTTCCTTTCTTTACCAGGGAATATTAGTGGTTAGTGATGCTTTCATTCATGCCATATTAGGTGCTAGTTCTGCATTAGGGCATGGTGTGAAAGCTGTACAAAATACTGCTGTTTATATTTCTTTGGGACTTGTGGATTTAGTTTTCTCGATTTTATATAGTATCCACCATTGCTTGCTTTTAATTAAGAACTCGTTAGTACTTGTTGGTCTAACATCATGGGATCTGTTCACATTTCTTCCAAACTTACTAATGGATGTAAAACGAGAATTAGTTTCAGTAGTTATTCATTGTATGGCAAGTTTAAGAGATGTTGTTAATAGCCTACGTCTCTGGATACACTGTGGTATCCAAGGACTTCTCCTTTTTGTCTCAGATATCCCAAGCGAGTCCTTATACGGATTGCTGGTCTGTTTTACAATTGTCTTCTTATCAATCAAGTATCACCATAGCATACGCCCCTTGATTGTAAGAAATATTGTTTACTTTTTGACACAAGGTCAAAAAACTCTTATTACTGCCTGGACGTATTTAGAGGCTTTCACATTCTGGCTTCTGACGAATCAAATGACTCCATCCCCAAACGGACCTCGCCGCTTTGGTATTGAAAGGACATACCATGTTGATCAATTAGGAGGAGCACACTCAAATGAAGACGTACCCCAAAGGTAAGTTTTCTAATCAGAACAAATTTTTCTTAATTACTCTTAAAAGGTGGATTTGTGATTGCAATGCTGCAAACGTAGCTCTACTGCTAGCCTTAGAACAATATTCTTCCTGATGCCCCTCACTCTGTTTTGACCAGTTCCTCAATGCTAATTCAATGCTAGGGTTTAAGATACGCTCACTACATTGCACTGACGAATCTCCTTTTACATTGCAAGCATCTGAAAGTTACCATGACCTCATTCAATACATACCATTCATTTCCACAACATTCATCTTTGATTTCAGAGATGAAACTGCAGATAATCTTGCGGAGTTGATCGAAAGAAAAGCACATCAAGAACCAGAAGAACGCCTGTGTGTAGTGTGTCAGGACAATGAAAAGTGCACAATAATTTTACCTTGTAGACATGTTTGTTTATGTTATGAATGTTGCGCAACTATAAAACGAACCCACGGTCGTTGCCCTATTTGTAGACATGTTGTTAGAAGAACAATGCGTGTGTATATCTAAAATTATTTAGTAAATGTGCATTTTAAAAATGTAACTGTTACTTAATTGTGAATGACTGATATTGTATGTGATTCACATTTAATTCACATGTTCAAAGGCTTTTCACAATTGCCTAAGTGTAGTGTTTTTTGTGAAAAATGTTCCAGTTTCTCGTTCTAGTGTACAAACTTTTTTTTTTTTGCAGCCATGCTCCTGACTAGTCTTTATCACAAGTGAGTCATGCTGAGAAACAAATCTAAGCCTCCGTCCGAATTCTCATCAGTCCGGCCCAGTGTATTTCTTTTCGTGGCTTTCCCTGGGTGATAGGGGGTGGAACGCACAAAAAAAATATTGAAGGGACCAGACCAATGAGAATTTAGACGAAGTCGAAGTTAGGAATTTGCAAGTTTAATTTTCAAAAGCCATTTATTTGAAGGTAATTTCCTCTCAATCTAACTGTTATAAATAGGGCCGGGTAATTAATTCTAGTTGTAAGTTTTATATCTAAACCTTAGTTCTGAGAACTTTGAGACTGAAACAGAATGAGTGCAACAGGAAGATATACTGTTCTTCTACTCAGTATCAGATGAAAGAAACTACATATTTT